CCCCGTTCCCGCAGCTCCGCGGCCGGGCCCCTTTCTTTGACTTGTGCACCCAGCCTCGCCCTCCTCTGCTGAGTTATTGGATGTTTCTTTTTAAACTACTTCTTCTTTTCTAAATTGTGATTTGGGTGAAAATGTACAGAGCACATTCACTTTCCATACAGCAGTTCACACACATGTTGTCTCCTGACATTGACTACAATTTACCCCATGCAACAGCTCCCCTCCCACTTCCTCCCCATAGTCACCTCTTCCCTGTGTCCATCCCTCCATGCACCCCTGCCCCCTGAGCTGTCTCCCTGTGCACACACAGCCCCTGTTTCTCCCATGATTGTTCTCTCCAAGGAGTGTATCTACTTCAGGTACATGTTCAGCTCATATGCCTGTCTTTTGCTTGTCTGGAAGCCACAGGTGTGGGGGCCATAGTCTCAGTGGTTCCACCAGGGTCTATCAGACCAGCAAACCTGGTCCCCTTTTCTTTCCCCAGTGATTTTGAGTTTTGTTCCACATTGTTCTCCCTCTCTTTCCAGGATCTCCTACATAGGTCCCCCTCCGAGTGGTTGACAGTGGTAGCCGGGCACCATCTAGTTCTTGTGGTCTCATAGTCGTATAGGCTGCGGGTCGCATGGTGTGCCAGTTGCTGGGGGTAATTCTTTCGATGATTCTTTGGTTTTCTTCATTCTTCTTTGCTCTGGACGAGGAGGGATTGAACTTCTTTTTACTGTGATAAAACACATATAACATAACATTGACCATTTTATGTATTTTAATGTGTACAGTTCAGTGGCACTTAGTTCCCAGGTGGTGCAAACGGTTAAGCGCTCGACTACTGGCCTAAAGGTTGGTGGTTCGAACTCACCCAGGCGCCTCGGAGGGCAGGCCTGGCGTTCAGCTCCTGAAAGGTCAGTGCCTTGCAAACCCCATGGAGCAGTTCCCACTCTGCCCACGAGGGGGCGCCGTGCGCCAGAATCAAGTTGACAGCGCCAACAACGATAACAAGTCCCTTCAAAGGGACAGTGGTGGCCTAGGGGGAGGATTGTCGCCTTCCGTGCGGGCGACCCGGGTTCAATTCCCAGCTGGTCCACCCTCTGCAGTCACCAGTCGTCGGTCAGTGGAGGGTCGTGGGTCACGAGGATGCAGAACAGGTTTCGGGGCAGATTCTGGACAAAGATGGACCAGGAAGACAGGCCTGGTGGTCCGCTCCTGAAAATCAGCCCGGGAAACCCCGTGGATCCCGGCGGGCTGCTCGCGCTGTGCAGGGAGGGGGTCGTTAGGAGGAGGGCGAGTCGCCGGCAGCAGCGGCAGCGGCGGGCCCTTCCCAGCACTGAGCGCCCAGCACTGGCCTCTAGTCCACGACCTCGTCTCTCTCTCCTCTCAGAGCTGACACGTGTCCCCGACATCGTCCTCACGGGGTCCCTGGAGTCCGGCCACAGCAGCAATGTGATGTGCTCTGCACCCTGGGCCTGTGACAGGGGGACACCTCTCACCTTCTCCTGGACCATGTCACCCTGGACGGGCACTGCCCTGAGGGCCCACTCTGAGGATTATAACTCCTCGGTGGTCACGCTGTCTCCTGGCCCACAGGACCACGGCACCCACCTCATCTGTCGGGTGACCCTCCCCAACACCGGGGTGACCACAGAGAAGAGCATCAGGCTCAATGTCTCCTGTGAGTGCCCGAGGCCGGGGGTGGGGACCCAGCGCCCGCATGCCGGGCCACAAGGAGGGGACCCAGCTCCCGCATGCTGGGGCCGCGGGTTGCCCAGGGGACAGGGGCTGCAGGAAGGACGGACACAGGCCTCCTTCCACACGAGTTTCTGTAGGTCCCTGGGGACAGGGCGGCTCTAACTCAGTCCCTCCCCCCGTTTCTCTGTGCCAGATGCCCCCCAGAACCTGACCATCAGCTTCCTCCGAGGAAACCTCACAGGTAGGATGGGAGCCCCCTCCCCTGCCAGTGATGGGAGCAGGACCCCAGCATCACAGAGCCAGGGCAGGGCCTGCAAACTGTCAGAGAAAACGCAGAGCCATCAGAGGGCAGCAGTGCCTGGGTGGCGCGGGCGGTTAAGCGCTCGACTGCTGGCCTGAAGGTCGGCAGTTCAAAACCCGCTCAGAGGCGTGTCGGAGGAAGACCTGGCAGTGTGCACTTGTGAGTTCACAGCCTCGGAAACCCCGTGGAGCCGTTCTGCTCTGTATACGTGGGGTCACTAAGCGGAATCCACTCCATGGCGGCTGAGGGCACCAGGGGCGCTGTTAATGTGTGTGTTAATGGCGGTGGAGCGATTGGAAGAGGACAGTCACGTGGTTGCAGAACGTGATCAGTGACACTGAACATGCTGCGACGTGGCCGCGACGGCCCAAGTGGCCCGTGCGTGCGTCCACCACATGCAGGTCCCGACTGACAGGGAGAATGCCAGAGTCGGCCAACGTCGCAAGAGTCAGACAAGGTTGTCCTTGATGGAGACGAGAGTCAACCAGGCCCCGAGCGTGGGGGGTGGGATGCAAGGGTGGCGAGATGAGACAGGTCACAAGATCCTTTACTGGGTTCTCAGGACCCGGGAGGGGCGGACGCTTAATGTTCTCAGCTGTTAACTAAAAGGTTGGAGGTTCGAGTCCACCCAGAGGCAGCTCAGAAGGAAGGCAGCGCTGGAAGGGAGCGGGGCCAGCTGTGCTCCGAGGTCGCCGTGCGCAGTCGTGCTGTGTGCTGACGCAGGCCGAGGGCGGAGCAGCATCAGGGACCCGAAGCGCCACTTAGCGGAAGTGCGCTCAGGAAGCAGTTCCGGTCATCCCTGAGGATGCGGCAGTGGTGCTCGGCTACCGACCGGAAGGTGGCGGCTCAGCGCAGCCCGGGCACCGGGCGGCTGCCCCGGGAGCCCTGTGCGCACAGTTCTGCTCGGAGCCACACGGGGGCGCCAGTGAGTCTGAACTGACTCCCGGAAGCTGTTTCTCAGTGTGGAGGAGGTGCCGGTGGGAAGGAGCGCAGGGTCTCTTTACCGGGTGACCGCACGGGCTAACGGGTTGTGGTGACGTTTATGCAGCGTTGGGTCCACCGAAACCACCAAGCTGTACCCCTGCAACGGTGGCGAGGCCCTGCGTGGCTCAAACGTTTTGAGCTCCAGTGCTCACCTAAAGGCTGGCAGTTCAAATCCAGCTGGCGGTACTTGGGGGGGGGGGTCTTCCTCTCTCTCTCCGCAGAACTGAAATATCTGCGGAACGGCTCGTCTATTCAAGTCCGGGAAGGGGACTCCCTGCGCCTCATCTGTGTCGCCAACGGCAACCCCCTGGCCGCACTCAGCTGGACGCGGGGCAGGCCTGCCCTGAGCCCCTCGCAGCCCTCGGGCCCCGGGGTCCTGGAGCTGCCTCGGGTTCAGAGGGAGGACGAAGGGGAGCTCACCTGCCGAGCTCGGAACCCGCTGGGCTCCCTGCGCGTCTCTCTGAGCCTCTCTGTGCAGAGTGACCGTCACGGTACTTCACACGAGTTCCCTCCCTGAGGTCACCGCCAGCTTATCTGACTCAAGGAGACATCCCCCTGCGGCTCGGCGGGGACCCCAACCCTGGCCTCAGACTCCCCTGTGAAATCCACATGCCCATGGGGCCCCCCAGCCCCCTGTCCAATGACGCAGGAGAGGCCTGGAGATCAAATGTCCGGTCCTGTTGGGGGTGGAAGGGCCCAGGAGTGTGGTGTGGGGGTGACAGGCCCCCTCTGTCTCCCACAGGGAAACCGAGGGGTGTGGCCGATGTGGTTCTGGTGGCTCTAGTGTCAACCGTGATCAAGATCCTGCTCCTTGGGCTGTGCCTTACCGTATCCCTGTGAGCAGTGCCCCAGGAGGAAGGGGCAAGGCTGGGAGGGCAGGGCCAGGTCGCTGAACCCCAGAACTCCAGCTGTGGAGGGACCCCAGGGGGGCCAAGGGGGGCTGTGGCCAGGCAGGAGGATGACTTGGTGGTGAGAATTTGCCACATCCCCCACATGGGGCCGAGTGTCCGGGAAGGAGATCCCAGATCCCATCGGAAGGCCTCTGGGGAAGCCCTCCCCGTCCCCCCCGCCCCCAGTCACCCTCTGGCTCCTTGAGAGGGACCAGAGGGTCTGTGTGCTCACTGCCAGGATCTAGCCAGACTGAGAGGCTGCCTGGTCTGTTTGCTCAGAGTGAGGTTGTGCAGGAAGAGAAGAGCCCGGCCGGCAGCGGGCGTAGAGAACACAGGCTTGGAAGATGTGAACACGTTCACGGCTTAGTCTCTCAAGTGAGTGATGTGGGTGTCTGACTTCCCAATGTCCCACCTGGACACCTCCTCCAGGAAGGCCCCCATGATTGCTCTGCTCAGCACAGACAACACTGAACTGCCCATCTGCCTCCCCACCCCCCTGCCCCTGCTGGCTCCCGTCTCACCAGTGGCTCAGCCGGCTCCGGTCTCGGGACAGAAACCAGGGTGTCATTCTCCCTGTGTCCTCCCTGTGATCTCCCAGACCCAGCAAAGCACGGAGCTTGCCTGTCCTTTCTCCTCAGCACAGCCCA